GGGTGTGCAGGAGGCAGCTGATCGATGTTTCTGTCTCATCGATGTTTCTAGCTCTCTATCCCTCTCTCTTCCTCTTTGTAAAAAAATCAATAAAATATATTTAAAAATAAAAATAAAAAAATAAAATGGGCTTGGAAGACTCAACAAAAAGTGGGTGGAGGCATTTGAAGCAGAGAAAACGTCTAGAATTAAGGTTGTGGGGGGGAGGGACTAGGAAGAGACTGAATAGTTAAGAAGTCATGGGAAGAGAAGGCTGGAGAGCTCAGCAAAAGACTTAAAGGCCGTGGAGAGGAGCCTGAGTTTTCTCCCGAGGGCACTGGGGAGCCACAGCAGGTTCTGAGCAGGACTGGGACAGGGTCAGGTTTGTGCTTTAGCATGACCACTCTGACTGCCTGGCTGCCCTATTGGAGGGCGGGGGGGTGGATGGATGGAAGAGGGGCCCGACTGGGGTAGGAGACCCCAGAGAGGAGGGTCCTGAACCAGAGCAGGGGCTGCGGGGAGAGGGAAGAGGAGCCAGATTCTAGAACCGGGAGGAACATGCCTGGACCAGCCTGCTGTCCTTGAGCTTCAGGGCTCACCCACCACCACCACCAGGGGGCAGCCAAGGGTACAGGTTTGAATATCTTGGCTTCTCCCAGGACAGGGAGGTTTGCACCCCCATTTAGGGGTGGGGTTAGAACTGTCTGTGGGGTCCCAGATGAGAGGCCTCTTGCTCTCCTGCCGCCATCCCGGCCTTTTGGGCTTCTGGAGCCCCCACCCCACCAGCACAAGATTATGTCAACACAGCCCCGCTGTTTCTGGCCAGGACAATATTTGCCCTCTGCATCTGGGGAGGTTGCTATGGAGATGTGCTGCAGGGGGAGGTGAAGGTGGGGTGGGGGAAGGGGGAAGCGTGTGTGGGCGAGCGCACACACACACACACACTCATGCACACTCACACACACCGTCCAGAAGAGGGTAAGGGGAGCTGGGCTTCTTGCCTCATCTCTGAGTGATTGTGTCTGAGTTCTGAGAGAGTTTACCCACCCCCATCTATCTGTGTTCTAAACCGCACCCCCCCTCCCTATCTCTCAGGTCTCTTCCTCTGTCCTTCACTCTCTCTCTCCGGGTCCCCATCTCTGTTTCTCCATGTCTCTGTCTCTCTCTGGGTTTCATGTCTCTACGTCTCTGTTTCTCTTTGGATCTGTGTCTCTGTCTCTGTCTCAGACGCCGTGTTGCGTTGTGTTTCCTAGGCCCCTGTCCCTGGCCTGTGTGAGTGTGTGCGTCCCTGTCTCTGTCGCTCTGTCTCGGCCTCTCTGGATCCCCATGCTTGTGAGCATGTCTCTCTCAGCCGGTCTCTCTACTGCTGTCTCTCATTCTCTGTATCTCTGTCTTTCTCTGTGTGTGTGTGTGTGTGTGTGTGTGGCCTCCTCTCAGCCGTCCTGAATCTCAGGGGGCTGGCTCAGGCGCCCGCTTCTGGCCTCAGTCCCCATGGGGCATGCCCTCTCCCCATCCCTCTCTGCCTCATTGCTCCTGCACCATCTGCTGGCACCCCAGGCCCCGGCCTGCTCCCACAGGCTCTGCTTGGCTGGGCAGCCCCATGGGGAAGCACAGGCCCTCTGGCTGCCTCCCCACCACTGCGTCCTGAGCTGAGGGCACTGCCTGGTCATTGGTGGGGTGGGGAGAGAGGCCAACAGCCTGGAAACCCAGGGGCAATGGAGGGAGAGAAACAGACAGACAGGCACTAGCAAGAAGATGAGGGAAAGGGGAAAGTTTAAAGAAGAGGCTGATCCGGAGAACACAAGGGAGCAAGAGAAATAAGCAGAGGAGCAGAATGAAACCGGAGGGAAGAAAAGGGACAGCGAGAAGATGAGGGAAAGGGGAAGAGAAAGGGGAAAGTTTAAAGATTGGCTAGAAGAGGCTGATCCGGAGAACACGAGGGAGCAAGAGAAATAGGCAGAGGAGCAGAATGAAACCGGAGGGAAGAAAAGGGACAAGACAGCCCAGCAAGCACGAGAAGACAGACAAACGGAGTGGGTGCTTGGAGAAAAGGAGAAAGGGGGATTCGGACCCAAGGGGGGGGGGGCAGGGAGAGATGGACAGCAGAGAAGGGGGTGGGAAGGGGGGGGCGCACGGCTGTTTCTCTGCCTGCAGGTTCCAGAAACCCTGAGCATGGAATTGGGGAGGGCCCGTGTGGCTACCCCTGTGGCCCTGCTGTCCCCTCCTGATCCCAGGACACTGCAGAGACCCCAGGAGGCTGAGATGGGCAGTCAGGACCCAGGCATCTCCCCTCCTGCCAGACATGGGCCCCTCCCTGTGCCCTGGTCTGTCCTGTGTCCTCACAGAGTGGCCGATGGAGGGCTGTGGGGCTCGGAGCCCAGCCTCGGGCTCATCCCCGCAGCTCCTGCCTTGGCCATCTTTCCTCAGGCCCCACCTTTCAGGCTCTCTCTCCCTCCACCCTCCCCATCTTCATCTCTCTACGTCTCCATCTCTCAGCTTGTATCTCTTCTGTCTCTCTCCCTCTCTTAGTCCCCGTTCTCTCTCCCCTGATTCCTCTTTCTCTTTCTCTCTGTTTCTTTCTGTTTCGATTTCTTTATTCTTATTTTTTAATCCTCAACCTGAGGATATTTTTTTCCATTGAGTTTTAGAGAAAGTAGAAGGGAGGGAGGAGGGAGAGGGGGAGAGAGAGAGAGAGAGGTGAGGGGCACACAACAATTGGCTACCTCCCGCATGCACCTGGACCGGGATGGGGGTAAACCTGCAACCCAGGTACATGCCCTTGACTGGGAATCAAACCCGAGACCCTTTGGTCCTCAGGCCGACGCTCTAACCACTGAGCAACGGGCCAGGGCTCCATTTCTTTCCTGCCAGTCTCTTTTGGTCTTTCTCTTTCCCGTGGTCTCTCTCATCTCTGCTTCTTCCTGTCTCTGTTCTTTCTTGAGCTTTGGTTTCTTTTCCTATTTCTCTCACCACCTCAGTTCCTCTCACTGCCACCCCTCCCTTCCTAGTTTCTCCCTCCATTCCAGCCTCCCCCCACCTTCCCAGCCCTAGCAGAGAGACCCAGGCCCTCTGGGGGCCAAGGAGAGATTCCCTCCAAACCCCAGCGTCTCCCGAGGTGCTGGGCAACCTCAGACCCCCTTTCCTCCCCACCCTGCGGACTGAGCCTTTCCCAGGACCCAAAGGGCGCCAGGAATGTGGGGCAGAGAGCAGGGAGGCCAGCTGGAGGCCAGGAAGTCAGGACCCCCCCCTCCCCACGCTCCTCCCCTCCCCTAAACGTGCCTCCTCTCCTTCCGGCCTCTGGTGCTTGACCTCACCTCACGCCACCCCTGTTCCCTGCCCCTACTGGGGCCTCTGGGCCTCAGTTTCTCCTCTGCAAAATGGGCAAACTTGCCTCTGACCCACTTACCCCATAGGTCCCAGGGGAGTGTGTACTCTGAATGCTCATCGCACGATTAATGTGCATGCATTGGTAATTAGCATTAAGGGGGGAGAGCTGGGACGCCATTTCTAAGGCTTCGCCCAGCATGCACAGATGTTCCTCATATTTTAGGGTTCCCCTTTTTTTGGTTAATTCTCACCTGAAGATATTTTTCCCAATGATTTTTAGAGAGAGTGGAAGTGAGGGAGAGGAGGAAGAGGAGAGAGAGAAACATTGATGTGGGATCAAACCTGCAACCCAGGTATGTGCCCTTGACTGAGAATGGAATTTATGACCCTTGGGTGCCTGGGCGGATGCTCTAACCACTGAGCACCCTGGCCAAGGCATTAGGATTGTTCATGTTTAAGGAAGAGACTGAAAGGGGAGATTTTCAGATGTGGAGGTCAATGATTGTGACCATGAGACCGTGTGAGGCTGTGGGCTCATGTGTGATGGTGAGGTGATGGTGTGTGACCCAGTGTGTCTTGTGAGTGTGGGTGAGGCTGTGATGGAGAGAACTGTGTATCTGTACAACCACGGCACTGATGTGACTGTGAGGGTGACCGTGTGATGGTGTGACGCTGGGAGCCTGTGAGAGTGTGTGCTCGGGCGGCTGGGTAATGTGTGTTGTTGGGGTGCCGCTGTGGACCCGGCCGGTGATTATGTGAAGTGTGAAATGATGTGTGAGAGTGTTAATGGGCCTGGCTGTGTAACATGGTGAGACCTTCAGATGGTGTCATTAAAGGATTATACGACCATGTGAGGAGCCACATAACTGTGCATTTATTTTATTTTTTTAATATGTTTTTATTGATTTTAGAGAGAGAGGGAGGAAAAGGAAGGGAGGGATAGAAACACCCATGATGAGAGAGAACCATTGATTGGCTGCCTCCTGCACAGCCCCTCCTGGGGATCGAGCCCGCAACCTGGGCATGTGCCCTGACCGGGAATCGAACCTGTGACCTCCTGGTTCACAGGTCGGCGCTCAACCACTGAGCGACCTTGGCCAGGCTGTGTATTTATTTAATCAACAATCATTCGTTGAGCCTCTGTGCTCTGTGCCCAAACCTGTGCTGAGTGATACTGGGGACCCAGAGATGCCTGGCCCCGTTTGCATGGGGGCACACAGGCCAGGGGGGAGACAGATGGTTGTTTGTGACATGACCTGGTGAGTGTGTGAGTGTGTGTGTGTGAGTGTGTGGTTGACACAGTGGCACTGGGACTGTGGGTAGTGGCAGTTGTGTCACTGTGAGTGCAGGTGCCCACGCCCGAGGACGCGTGCCCGTGGGTCCTGCGGGTGACAGTCTGCCTGTGGGTGTGGACCAGGCTCTCCGGGTGTGACCGTAGATCGCACAGCTGAATGAGCACGAGGAACACGCTCTATGAAGAACAGCATGTGACATTGTGTGCTGAGCCCGCGTCTCGGTTAATGGGACTGCGTGCGACACTGCGTGTGACTGCCTGAGTCTGTGGGCGATGGCGGGTGGGACAGTGAGAGACTGCACTGGGGGGGGGGGGGGGGTGACTGCTCCCTCATGTGACCTGGAGTGCTGTGATGCTCACAGGCCAGGGCCCCTGCTCCCCTGGAGCCCCCCCTTCCTGTTCCCTGGCCCCGCCCCTCCCACCACACAGGCTGTCACCTCTTCCAGAGCTCGGGAGGCAGTGGAGGCAGCAGCAGAGGCAGCAGCAGGACAGGTGAGGGCTCCCCTGCCCCCCCTGGCCCCTCAAGTCCGTGGGTCCCTCTCTCTGTGTTTCTGAGCCTTTGTCTCTCTCTGTCTCTGTGGCCACAGTCTCTTACCTCCTCTCACCCGGTGTCTTATCTTCGTCCCCACGCCTCCCAATCTCTGTCGAACCTCTAAGTAGCTCTGGCCTCTATCTCCTCTGCCGCCGAGCCCACATTTTGTCGCTTTCTCCGCCCTGTGGTCTCTGGCCTCTTGCTGCGCCTCTCCTATCTGTCTCCGTTTCTCTCTCTGTGTGTGTCTGTCTCCTGCATCTCTGACCCGTGTCTGACCCGTGTCTGTGGTCTGGTCTGAGGTCCTCCCTGCCTCTCCTTCCCCCACCTGGTGCTGCGTGGGGGGGGGGGGGGGGGGTTGTTGAGCGTGAGGGACAGATTTCCAGGCCCGTGGCCCCTGCACACCTCAGCCCGGGGTCTGAGCCGCTCCAGTCCCTCGGGAGGGCATGTCCCATGGACTCCGGGCTTTGTCCTCAGCGGGATAAGTTCCATACGGCCAGGTTTTTATCCCCGATTTGGATTTGAAGACCCTTTGGGCTCAGGGAGTGGGAACTCGGAGGGCCGTCTGCAGCCCCGTGCCCTCCGCTCCCAGGCGGCCCCCAGGTTCACCCCGGTCTCCACGTCTAGACTCCGGGTGACATTAGCACTTCCGCCGGCGCAGCTCTAGGGCAACCACGCCCTCAGCAAACACCGCCGCCCCCCCCTCGCCGCCGCTGCTCCCGCAACAGCTGGGGGTGGGCCCGGG